AATGGAAAAGAATATGAAAAAGAATATGAAAATATGAAATGAATATGAAAAGAATATGAAAATATGAAAAATATATGTAATGTATATATAACTGGATCATTTTCTGTGCAGCATAAATTAACACATCATTGTGAATCAATTATACTCTAATAAAAAATAAAATACTAACTGCAATTATCCAGAGTAGCCCCATATCATCCCCTGATCTAAATGCTTACCAGAAACATACCAGTTCTTGGTTGCTCATACTGAATTCTAAGACTAAGATTTTTAGCTCATGAAGATTATTCTTTTATTCCCCTAAGTACCCCTCATTCCTGCACTGATTTAGGCCTCTTACTCAGGCTTCTCCTCATAATTTAACTTGTACTATCTGCATTTTGGGTTCCTGCCCATAAACAAAGCTCACCGACCACCTTCTCACCACAAAGCATGTTATATTCTTGCCAATTGCTTTACTCCGCTGACCACATGGGAGTCACCAGTGCTGCCATGGAAGCCACAACATTGCACAACAAAATGAAATAATCAGTACCAATCAAGAAATATCCAAAATAATATCTTAATATACTGTTTTCCTGCCACCACCCTTGAAGCCCTGACTGAAAGGCGATGCTCCCTGGTCACTGCAGTTGCTGACAACCCGTTAGATTATCTGCCGTCAGCCAAGCGGGCGTTTGTCGCCTGAAGGGTACATGTTGCAGTATGTGAATACGCAACACAGAGTTAATCAGAGAGCATAGCACCTGGTCTCCTCTCCAGCAGAACATTTTCCCCAGTCCCACTCCTTAACCACAGAGAGTTCCCAAATACTTTCTCTCCTTTGTCAAAGCCAACTGCTTGCTCACACCCAGGTCTCCCCAGGAGTCCTTTAGTGTGAGTAGTAAACTTTCTCTTAAATTATCTTCCTGTCTTGAGTTATTCAGATGTCTCTGACATCTGAACGAAATCATATGCCTTCTGATATATGTGCTGTGTATACCTATCAAAGGTTTAAAGTGTGAATATTCGATACACACACACATATTAATAATAAAGCAAAACATGGTAAAATATTAGCCTTTCTGGAATGTGAGTGAAGGGCATACAGGAATTCATTTTATCATCTTTACAACATTTTTCTAAGTCTGAAATCATTTAAAAATTAAGTTAAAAAATTCTGAGTCCCAGCTGGAACTCTGCCCAAGGTAAGTTTGAACTTGGAACCATGCCTGAGAAGGAAGGAATGCGAGTCAGCCCTTGCATTAGAGACACTCTCCCCTGTGACTCCTCCAGTCCCCTCTGGCTCCTGGACATGCTACTCCCAAAACGGTAGCAAGAAATTGGCCTATTAATCCACAGGGGCTCCTCCTTTACAATGAAGAGAAGCTGAGGATATTTTTTTTTCACTTAGATTTTTTTTTCCATTTACTTTTATTAGTTGGAGGCTAATTACTTTACAACACGAAAAGATGCTCAACATCACTCATTATCAGAGAAATGCAAATCAAAACCACAATGAGGTACCATTACATGCCAGTCAGGATGGCTGCTATCCAAAAGTCTACAAGCAATAAATGCTGGAGAGGGTGTGGAGAAAAGGGAACCCTCTTATACTGTTGATGGGAATGCAAACTAGTACAGCCGCTGTGGAGAACAGTGTGGTGATTTCTTTAAAAACTGGAATTAGAACTGCCATATGACCCAGCAATACCACTTCTGGGCATACACACTGAGGAAACCAGATCTGAAAGAGACACGTACACCCCAATGTTCATCACAGCACTGTTTATAATAGGCACGACATGGAAGCAACCTAGATGCCCATCAGCAGACAAATGGATAAGGAAGCTGTGGTATATATACACCATGGAATATTACTCAGCCATTAAAAAGAATTCATTTGAATCAGTTCTAATGAGATGGATGAAACTGGAGCCCATTATACAGAGTGAAGTAAGCCAGGAAGCTGAGGATTTAAGCAACAGTCTGAAAGAGGCGTCCGAACTCATGACAAGCACAGGTCAGAAGGAGCTGGAAATCCGCACCTGCTGGAGGATCTATCTGGGTTTGAGTGTGAGTATGTCTGTGTTCATGAGTGTGTGTACTCATGTGTGAGTGCTTGTGTACGAGTTGTCTGATAGTCATGTGTGTATCGTGTATGCTTGTGTATTTATTGCTTGGTAGTTTGTGTGTGTGGGCTGTGTATGATTGTGTACATGTTTGATAGTCATGCATGGCGTGTCTTCTGTACCTGACTCAGAGCCTGATTCTCTTCCTGAGTTAGATCCAATCCAGTCCTGTTTTAGCACACAGAGACCTAATTATCAGCCTCATAACATGCGATTAGCAGCTCCTGAGCAGTGCCCATGATCTTAAATATCTGCCTCCTGCTGTCATGATGGGGCATATCCCCCACCAGGCAGGCATTACAGCTCAGGGTGAGCGCTCGGCATCAGGGCTGCTGGAGCAGATGCCCGACCTCGCCAAGAAACCAAGGTCAGACAGGGCTCAACCTCCATTCAGCAGCCAGAGTTCAGTGTGTGTCTGACCTGTGTTTGTGGGTGACACCCTCGTGAGTGAGAGCCAGAATGTGTGTTGTTTGCTTCTGTCTCTGTGTGTGTCACCATGGGCACAGGTTGGGGGTGGTGGTGAATGGGCTTAGCCTACCCATGCTAACTGCCTTCACCTCGCAAGGATTTGGGGCACAAGCAAACCTCCGTTAAGGGAGTGTGTGTGCTGCTTGTAGTGAGTGTAAGACTGGGTGTGCATGTGTGTTTTTGGTGTGTGTCTTGTGAGGTTTTGATTTGTAGTTGGCCTTGTATGTTTCTGATGGTGTGTATGTATAGTGATGAGCTATGTGTATGCGGTATGCTTATGTATTTTACCAGGTCTGTCATGCCGTGCCAGTGGTGTGTTATGACTGTATTGTTGGGTGACATGTGATTGTGCATTGTATATGTCTTGCCTTGTGTGTTATTTATGACTTGTACATATATGAGTGTTTATGAACTGAACCAGACTGGTTATCCTTCCCCCAGAATGAGTCTCAGACACAGGTGACAGAAATCCTCAGATCAGCAGGGTATGTATGTGTGCATGAGAGAGAGAGATTTGCATGTGTGTTTGAGGGTTCCTGACTTGCATCTATGACCTCAATTATCTCCTTATGTGACCTTCTTCTAAGGTAACATCAACTGACATAACCAATGCTCCAAGTGACTGTTTCCTGTAGAGGATCCGCCCTCATTTTCAGATACCTGAGAGGGACTGAGTGTCTCAAAGTTTTATATCTCTTTGCTTCATTTAATGTCCCAGCAAAGAAACACTAGGCACCCTGCTGAGTGAAGTTAGAGTGCAGGAGCGCCCCCCCCAAAAAAAAAAACTGGTGCAAGACCTTGGAAGGCCACTTAATTCTTTTATTTCAGTTTATATGTCTATAAAATGGAAGCTCACAAACCCTCAATAATTATCCATGGCTTAAACATAAGCTAATGTATGTGAGAGCCTTTTGGCAGCTGGAAAGTATACAAATATGAATGAAAGGTATCATCTAGACAGAGCACTAAGAGAATTCAGGACAACTTCGGTTTCCTTGCAGCCCTCAAGTAACACAGTGTCTGGTGACCATGACAATGAAAGGGGATGCTTCCATATTAAAGGCACAGAATCTGATCACACGAATAGTATTAGACTGAACTACATGAAGTAACTAATAGTTGATCATTTTTAACCTACAGAAAATGGCAATTTTATATGTGTAGTACATATATATTCTTATATATTCTTATTTGTATATTCCTATACATATGTGCAGTATATTCATGTGTATGTATGTATATGAATATAGTTCAATCTATATCTGTATGGGATATATACACATATGTATATGCCCCAGGTTCCATATATCTTTTTATACAGTCCATCTATGTATGTATATATACACACATATCACCATATATATTTGAATATATATGCATCCCATCTCTGACAGCTATATCAGCTACATGCCTGTGAAATTTATATCATTTATGCTGTCATTTCCTAAAAGTTTAAAAGCATAAAGAACACTAATTCTTAGTACCATAAAGATTTTGTTGTAAGGCTGACGTGTATTTAATTAGTAAATGTATGTAAGGTGTTAGTCGCTCAGTCGTGTCCAACTCTTTGCTACCCCATGGACTGTAGCACACCAGGCTCTTCTGTCCGTGGAATTCTCCAGGCAAGAATACTGAAGTGGGTTACCATTTCCTTCTCCAGAGGATTTTCCCTACCCAGGGATCAAACCCGGGTCTCCTGCATTGCAGGCAGATTCTTTACCATCTGAGCCACCAGGGAAGCCCAATAATGTATGAAAAACCCTTAGCATCGTGCTGGTAACGTAGTATAATAAGTGTTCACCATCATTATGAAAGATAGTCTGTGGACTATTTTGTTTGGGGAGCTATCCTGACATCAAGTGGTGTTAAGCCATTTCTAGAGGACCAATGAGTTTATGGCTCTAGGTCAATGGCACTGACCAGGGTCCCAGAAGGTGTGTCACAAGGCTCCAACACCACCACCTCAGCCCAGAAACACCTGAGAGCAATTTACAGAGACTCATCTACTGTTTCTGCCACAGTGAAGTATTATGGTTTGGCGCCATCTCATTGTCATAAACTATCCCAGCAAGTTTACAGAAAATATTCTCCCAGAAGAAAGGGACCTTGCCTCTCTTATCCACTGCTGCATTTTCAGTCCTGAGTAGAGGGCAGGGTTCAAACTCAATGTTCAATAAATAATGGTTGAATGAAACAGCAATCATTCTCTGGCCTTTGTGCACTGAGGTCTTGTTGGCTACGTCTGGGTGTGATGTTTTCCTGGATCCAGATTGGGATACAGCAAGGATGCATGCATCCACAGGGGCTAGAAATGAATAGAAAGATAGTTAAAAATTCATTGTTTTCTCAGAAAATGCAGTTCAGAATATATCCCTACCATTCTTCCTGATGTTCCTAAACCCCCTCTATCCCCAGCACGGTATGAGACCTGAGAACCAGAGCAGCGTGTCCGAGTTCCTCCTCCTGGGGATCCCTATTCAGCCAGAGCAGCAGGACGTGGTCTTCGCCCTGTTCCTGGGCATGTACCTGACCACAGTGCTGGGCAACCTGCTCATCCTTCTGCTCATCAGGCTGGACCCTCGCCTCCACACCCCCATGTACTTCTTCCTCAGCCACTTGGCCCTCACTGACGTCTCCTTCTCATCTGTCACCCTCCCTAAGATGCTCATGAACATGCAGACTCGATGCCAAGCTATCACATACGCAGGGTGCATTTCACAGGTGTATTTCTTTATATTCTTCGGTTGCCTTGACAGTTTTCTTCTTGCCGTGATGGCCTATGACAGGTATGTGGCTGTGTGTCACCCTCTCCGCTACACTGCCATCATGAGGGATGAGTTTTGTGTCATCCTAGCGGCTGGGTGCTGGCTCGCTGCTTGTGCCCAAGCTCTGTTGCACACCCTCCTTGTGGACCAGTTGACTTTCTGTGCAGGGACTGTCATCCCTCACTTCTTCTGTGATCTCGCTGTTGTGCTCAAATCCTCCTGCTCCGACACCTCCCTCAATGAGCTGCTCATCCTCACTGAAGGAGTACTGATCTTCACCTTGCCTTTGGGTGGTATCTTGGGCTCCTATATCCGTATGGCAACCATCATCCTGAAGGTCCCCTCCTTCACAAGAATCTTCAAAGCCTTATCTACCTGTGGTTCTCACCTCTTTGTAGTGTTTTTATATTATGGGACAATTGCGGGTGTGTACTATTTCCCCTCATCAGGCAACTCCAAAGTCAAGGACATATTTGCTTCATTGATGTACATGGTAGTCACTCCTATGCTGAACCCCTTCATCTACAGCCTGAGGAATAAGGATATGAAACATGCTCTTCAGAACTTTTTCAGGACCATGGGCACCCCTGGCTATCATTAGTTCCTTCCCTATGTCATGGGCACTCATAAGGCTGCAAAATATGTTTCCTTTAGAAGTTGTAACTTGGAAAAATCTTATGACTGACACCATTTTTCTCTCAGCCTCATTTTATATTTTCTCTCTTCTTTTTCTTCACCTGATTTTTTTTCCCCTATCTGCTCTCTGAATTCTATGTATTAATATTTCTTTACTGAAATTCCAAGCCCTCCTATGATTGTCACTGCAAGCTGTGAGACTCTGAATCCACTTCCCTGAGATTTTAGTTTTCTTGTCTCCATATTTTTCTTCAGTAACCTTCTCTGTCTGGTACTGATATCAACACATAGTCATATGAATTTTCTTAATACCACCGAATCTCATTTATTTCATGTGTGAGGAATTCAGAAGAAGTTACCAAACTGGTTTATCTACGGAATGGTATCAATTACAGTTGGCATTAATTCATATACAATTTTAGCATGCAGTTTATTTAATCCTCAACACCAACCTCTTATAAGGATGCTAAGATTTTCCAAATTTACAGAGAAGCAAAGAAAAGTCCAGGCTCTCCAGGTGGCACTAGTGGTAAAGAACATGCCTGCCAATGCAGGAGACATACAGGACAAAGGTTCTATCACTGGGTGAGGATGATCCCCTTGAGGAGAACATGGCAACCAACTCTACTATTCTTACCTGGAGAATCCCATGGACAGAGCAGACTGGCAGGCTATAGTCCATAAGGTTGAAAAGAGTCAGACACAACTGAAGTGACTTATCACACACACACAGACGAAGTCCAGAGAAATCAAGTAAGTAGCTGCCCTTACTTACATGTCTCAGACATGACTTTAAAACCATGTGTTTAATCAGATTATTTTATTGCCATTATCTTGATCTCTAATGCTGTTTACCAGTTTGGATGTTTTTGTGCTTATGTAAAGTATACAATAAGTACTCTTTTGTGGTCCACTTTTTTGGTTCAGTATCACTATGGCTAACTCAGTCTCAAGGCTTTATAGTTTTCTAACATGTCTATATGCCTTCATGTATTCATCCATTCTAGTTCTGATTGACATTTGGATTGTTTCAAGTTTTGGACTTGTATATATACCTAAGAATGGAGTTCAGGGTTCACAATGAATGCATATTTTCCGCCTTAATAGTTTTCATCAGAAAGTTAAAGTGTTTGTACCAATCATCCTTGTAACATATGAAACAGTGTGGTCCACTTCCTCACCACATTTATACCATCTGTCTTTTCCACTGTATACATTTTTATGGGTTTGCGGAACTGTGTTATGATTTTAATTTACATTTGTCTGATAACTCCTATAGTTTGTCCCTTTGCCTCTACTTGTTAATCATTTGGGTATCTTCTCTTACAAAGGACCTGTTCCCAGTACTTTGGTGCTGTTTTATTGGGTAGTCTGCTTTTATAAATTACTTTCCAGGAATTCTTTAAATATGCTAGTTATGACTCCTTTTTTGGATATATATATATATATATATATATATATATATAGAGAGAGAGAGAGAGAGAGAGAGAGAGAGCTTTTTCTGTCATTATGTGGCTTGCTTGTTCACTGTATTAATGATTCTTTTGCCAAACAGAAGTTCTAATCTTAATGTAATATATATTTTTCCAATCTGGTTACTTTGTCTATCTAAAATTCATAAAGATATTACTCTAAGATTTTTCCTTTTAAATTGCTTGTTTTATCTTTAATATGCTTTGATATTTGTATTTAAAATCCATCTGGGTTCACTTCTTATGTATGTTTCAGATATGGATTCAGATTAATTTTTTCCATATGAGTATCCAATAGATACACAAGAATTTACTAAAAATTATATCCTTTCTCCACTAAAGCCACAAGGTCATTTTATCACTTTTATCATAAATAAAATGACTGAATATGTTGTCTTGACTATTTCTTCCTTTCATTTAAATTTTAGATTCTGCTTGACAGAAACCAAATCCAAACTATTGTTATTTTATTTGGGAGGTCATTGAACATATAAAACAGCTTGGGGAGAACTGCCATCTTTAAAGTGAGAAAACTGTAGCATGCAATCAGTTACATTCTTTTTCGTCAACAAATAATATTTCATTGTATGGACAGATCATGTTTTATTTATGCAGCCTTCGGTTGCTAGACATTCAATTCCTTTACAGTTTTTTTTTTTTTTTGGCTATTCTGAATAATGCTGCTCAGAATATTTGTATACATATTTTTGTGGGCCTGTGTTCATTTCCATTGGATATATACTTAAGATTGGATTTTGAAGGATCATATGGTAAGTCTATATGTAACTTTTGAAGAACTACCAGGCTGTTTTCCAAAGTAGCCACACCATTTTACATTCCCACAAGGAATATAAGAAGGTTTCAACTTCTCCACATCCTCACCAGGACTTGAAATTATTTTCCTTTTTGGTTTTCATTATCCTAGTGGGATTGAAGTGGTATCTCATTGTAGTTTTGATTTTTAGTTCTCTATTTTTTTTCCCATTTATTTTTATTAGTTGGAGGCTAATTACTTTACATCATTGCAGTGGTTTTTGTCATACATTGAAATGAATTAGCCATGGATTTACATGTATTCCCCATCCCGGGATCGGATTTTTAGTTCTCTAAAGATGCTGAGCATTTTTTCAAGTGCTTATTGGCCTTTTTCAGGGAAATGTCTATTCAAATCCTTTGTCCACTTTTAAACTGGATTTTTTCTAGCAAGTTGTAAAAGTTATACATATATACTTTAGAAGCAAGTCCTTTGATGACACCACCCTTATGGCAGAGAGTGAAGAGGAACTGAAAAGCCTCTTGATGAAAGTGAAAGAGGAGAGTGAAAAAGTTGGCTTAAAGTTCAACATTCAGAAAACTAAGATCATGGCATCTGGTTCCATCACTTCATGGGAAATAGATGGGGAAACAGTGGCTGACTTTATTTTTCTGGGCTCCAAAATCACTGCAGATGGTGACTGCAGCCATGAAATTAAAAGACGCTTACTCCTTGGAAGGAAAGTTATGACCAACCTAGACAGCATATTAAAAGGCAGAGACATTACTTTGCCAACAAAGGTCCGTCTGGTCAAGGCTATGGTTTTTCCAGTGGTCAGGTATGGATGTGAGAGTTGGACTGTGAAGAAAGCTGAGTGCCAAAAAATTGATGCTTTTGAACAACGGTGTTGGAGAAGACTCTTGAGAGTCCCTTGGACTGCAAGGAGATCCAACCAGTCCATCCTAAAGGAAATCAGTCCTGGGTGTTCATTGGAAGGACTGATGTTGAAGCTGAAACTCTAATATGTTGGCCACCTCGTGTGAAGAGTTGACCCATTGGAAAAGACCCTGATGCTGGGAGGGATTGGGGCGGGAGGAGAAGGGGACGACAGAGGATGAGATGGCTGGATGGCATCACCGACTCGATGGGCATGAGTTTGAGTAAACTCCGGGAGTTGGTGATGGACAGGGAGGCCTGGCATGCTGTGATTCATGGGGTTGCAAAGAGTCGGACACAACTGAGCAACTGAACTGAACTGAACTGAACTGAACTTGCAAATATCTTCCCATTTCTCACTCCCATGAAACGTGAGTTGACTTTTCATTTTCTTGATAACACTACTTTAAGCATGAAGGCTTTAATTTTCATGAAATCTAATTTTTTTTTCTTATGGTACTTGTGTCAGGTCTAAAAAGGTTTTGTCAAACTCAAGGTCATGGAAATTTAGTCCTGTGTTTTTTATAATAGTTTTATATTTTAGCTCTTACTTTTAGGAATATAGTCCACTTTGAGTTAATTTTGTGTATATAGAGGAAAAGGAGCTCAAATTTATTATTTTGTATATGTTCAGTTTTCCTAGTACCATTTGTTAAGAAGGTGTTTCTTTCCCACACTGAACTGTCTTGACACCTTATCAAAATTCAAATGTATATAAATATAAGGGATTACTTCTGGGTTCTCAGCTCCATTCCAATGATCTACACATCTATCCTCATGCCTGCATCATACTATCTTGATAACCACAGTTTTATGTTAAGTTTCAAAATCTGAAAACAGAACATATGAATCCTGCCACTGTTCTACTCTTTCAAGATATTTTTTGTTAGTTTGGATATCCTTAAATTTGCATATGTAGATTAAGATCAGCTTGTCATTTTCTGCAAAGAAGCCAGCTGAGATTTTGACAGAAATTATATTGAATAGATATATAGATCAGTTTGGGGAGTCTTGCTACCTTAGCAATATTAAGTTTCTTAAGCTATGAACATAGGTATATTTATACCTCTAATTTATTCCTACAATACTTTGCTGTTTTCAAAGAATGAATTTTGCATTAATTTTGATAAATTTATTCACAAACATGTTATTCTTTTGGTGTTATTGTAAGTAAAATTGTTTTGTTAGTTTCATTTTTCCTTGCTAATGTGTAGAAATACCATTGAGTTTTGTATATTGCACTTTGCAATCTTTTGAACTCATTTATTAGTTCTCATAGTTTGTTTTGATATTCTTTAGAATCTTATATATATAAAATCATCTGGAAATAAAATGTTTCTCTCTTCTTTTCAATCTTGATACCTTTTACTTTCTTGCCTAATTTCACTGGCTAGAACCTTCAATAAATATTGAATAGAAGCACTATTGTTCCTGAACTTACAGAAGAAAGCCTAGATAGAGTCAATGGCTGTACAACACTGTGACTATACTT